CCTCGGGTCGCCGCTACGGAGTTTGTAATTTTTTCTATTCCTTGCGACAAGCTCCATAAACTTGTCTAAGGAATGGGGGGGCTAGATGATGTGGTCGTTAGTAGCGGTTCATGAAGGACCGGTTGTGATCCGGGTTCTAGTCGCACTCAGCCGGGTGGTCCAATCTGGTAGGCGCAGTTCATGATACATTTAGAGTACATGGTTGGTAGGCGGATGTTTTGGTAGGCGGATGCTTTGGTAGGCGGGTGCTTTGGTAGGCGGGTGCTTTGGTAGGCGGATGCTTTGGTAGGCGGATGCTTTGGTAGGCGGAGGCTAGCTCAACGTGAGTTAGGCATGGCACCTTGGCACCTAGGTAGCTGGGCGTCCTGCTGGGGAGACCCGAGCCCAGAGGTGGTATCGTGTTCAAGTCATGAAGAGGTTCGCAACCTCAAGGACTCTTAGAATCTTGACCTAATTCAGATAAAGACTCATGGTATGATAAGAACTCTTCAACCTCTAGATGACTTCATCTATAAAAGGGGAGCAGGTTATTTCATTTACACAACACACACATATAAATTCTCTCGTTACTCTGCCGTCTTTTTTTCGGACCGCCACTGACTTGAGCGTCGGAGTGTTCGCGCCGGGACCACCCCCGGCGTGTTTTGCAGGTACCGGCGATCAAGGAGACGTAACCCGGTTCGAGGAGGAGCGGTCCAGCGGTCTAGGTTTGTGTGGTATAACAAATTGGCGCCGTCTGTGGGACGATCAGTCTTTTACTGGAGCATTAAAGGCTGTTTTTTCTCACCAAGGAAGAATAGAACAAGTATCATGACAGGAGATAATTCGAAGAAAAGCTTGACTAAGGAGATGGATGATGAATGGGCTCGGAGGGCTTTCGGAGCAGGTCCCCCGCCAGGATGGTCACCCTCGCCTGTTACCCCCAAGGAGACGCTGTTGGGCCCAAGTGTGACCCTGGTACCGCCACCAGAAGTTGAGGGGCGTGTGCTAAACCAGGAAGGATCAGGTGGTTTGACAGACAAAGCAAATGAGGTGGGCGCCACGGTTGATGGGGGGGCACATCAAGGCGCTTCGGGATCTGGAGGTGCTGGTGACCAGAACGGAGTCCTGGGTAGTAGGCAATTGGTCATGGTAAGAGCACAAAACCCTCCGGGGGACAATGTTTC